CATGGGTTCCATCCCAAGTACCACATAAACTGGGCATGGTGGTGCATGTCCGTCATCCCAGCACTGTGTAAGTGGAGGCAGGAGGATCAGAAGTTCAAGGGCATCCTTGGCTACATAATGAATTCACTGCTAGCCTGATATACATGAGACCCTTTCTTTTAAAAAAGGTGAGTGGAGTCCCAAATACATATGGCAGAAGTTGCTCACAAAACTATGGTGATATTGTATGTGTGCCTGTAACACACATATATGTGTATGAACCAGCTATTCCGACTTTGAATCCCAGTATTGCCCCTTCCAAGCCTATAGATTTGTGAGGTTTAAGTCTCTCTCCCTGTGTGCTCATCTGTTAAAAGTTGTGAATATAAAATGAAAGAATCACTATAGCATCCTCTGTTTTCTTGTTACCATGACAAAATATCTGACTACAGCACTTAGGAATGGTTTATTTTGGCTCACCATTCAAGCGTACAGTCCATCATGGTCTGGAAGTCATGGCATCACAAACATGAGGCAGCTGGTCAGGTGCATTCAGGAAGCAGAGTGCTGGTGCTCAGCTTACTTTCTCCTTTTCATTTAGTCAAGGACCACAGCCTATATAATGGTGCTACCCACATTTAGGGTGGATCTTCCCACTGCAAATAACCCAGTCTACCAACTCCCTCACAGACATGCCGAGAAGTTTGTCTTCTAGGTAATCCTAGATCCTGTCAAGTTGACAATCCGTATGTACTTTGAACAGAACTTGGAATATCATGAGAACTCAAATATCAGAGTTGTTTTTATAAAGTCCCAAATGTTTGTCTTTTGGGATGAACCAGATACTGAAAGCGCAGCATTTCCTACATCTCATTTGTAGTGGGATTTCTTTTATTTATCTTGAAATGTAAATGTCCACCCTGAAACCATCTGACAACTGATGTCTGTGTACCTGTCTTAAGGCTAAAGCAAAAAAGAAAGCTGAGGTTGAGGTTAGCGCCTGATTAAAAGGTCATTTTAAATAGTGTCAGCCTGGTCTGTGACTTTGAATTCATCATAAGCAAAGTGTTGCAAGCAGGGCAGTTGCCTGCAGTCAGGACCAACTACTGGTCCTCTCCTTGTAGACCAGACATGCCTGGTCTGGGGTTTCTTAGAATAACCTGTGGGGGCAAGGTGAGATCGTGTGCAAAGAGACTTGGGGTCTGGGGACAAGTTGTGTTACAGGAGACATGGAAGGGTCAGAGGTGTATTCAGGCAGTGACTTTATAAGCATGTGAGGTCCTCTGCCCTCCATGGAAGGTGCTGCTCTTCGCATTAACATAGCACAGTGACACTGGAAGGTGAGATAAAGAGTACCTAGACAGAATTTCAGGGTGAAGTTTCATGTGTAATGTGTTCTTCATAGAGGGTCAAAGTTGATTTATTACTGAGCTACAGTCACATCACATCAGAATAAAAATAGATTCTTTCAGAGCTGGGGACATAGCTCACCACTTGATAGAGTGCTTTCCTGCCATGTCATGCACTAAGCTCTGTCTCCAGTGCCATATAAACCAGATGTGGTGGTGCATGCCTCTAATTCCAGCTCTCTGGAGGTAGAGGCAGGAGGATCAGAAGTTCAAGATCATCCTTAGCTATATCAGGAGTTTGAGACCAACCTGGGGTGCATGAGACCCTGTCTCAAAACCAAAAGGAAAAAGAAAAGAAACTTTTTACCCTTCCTTCTGGCCATTCAAACTTTAAGGTTTAAGCTAAAGGAAACTTCAACACAAAAAATTACACACATATTTTTCCTTTTGGAGGGAGTTTAATCATAATATCATATGCAATAGGAACCACTAAATATTTTAGATAATCAATTATTTTTAAGAACCCACATGGGGTCTTATATAAACTGAAAAACAGAAACAAACATCTCAAGAATGGAGCATCAGTCACTGCATAAATTTTCTGAAAATAAAAACTAGAAATCATCATCTCAAAGTCGAAAGCTTCAGATTCTGGTTCAAAGCTTTTAGAAGAGCAAAAGACGTCTTAGGTGACCTCAAGGATGCACACAGGCAACCTTCCCCTCCCCTTTGTTCTTTCCAGTTTCAGTTCCCTCCCATCTGTACCCATCAGAAAGGAGGGGAAAAGAAGGGGAACACAACAGGCAGCCTTTGCCTTTGTCTCTTGTTGGCAGAATTTATTCAGTAATTTTCTCTTCAGCCAACTGCAGCCATGGCCCTTGCCTCTGGGCACTTGTTCAAAAACAAATGAAATAACAGATTGTCCAGCCCAAGCACAACTCCCCAGTCATAGCCCTGTTATCTTTCCTCCTGTCACCCCCATTAGGCACAGGCCCTGGTGACTGGATGGTGACACAGTAGTATTTATGTAATGGGAGCATCTCCACAGAGCATGGACTTTGTGCCAGCACCCCTCTTCTTCTTCTTCCTCTCCTCATAGGAATGAGGATAATAGGGTGTCTCATTCCTAGTAGATCACCCATGACTGATTTTAAAGGCTTCTTGTAAGTAAGTATAAAGACTTGAGTTTGATCCTCAGCACCCACATAAAAATTCTAGGCATGATGGCCCTCAATTGTAATCACATTGCTGGGAGACAGGGATCACTGGAGCTTGCTGGTCACTAGCTGAATCAGTGAGCTCCAGGTTGAATGGGAGACTCTGTCTCAAAAAAGGTGGAGGTGCTGGAGAGATAGCTCAGTGGTTAAGAGCACATACTTGCTTGCAGAGGACTTGAGTTAGGTGACTTACAACCTCCCGTAACTCCAGTTCTAGGTGATCTAATGCCCTCTTCTGGCCTCCACGAGCATATGCATGCACATAGTACACATAAACTCACACAAGCACACACACATACATATAAATAAAAAATAGTAAATCTTTTCAAAATAATAATTATAAGGTACAGAGCAATTGAGGAAGACACCTGGCCCCTGGCCTCTGTGTGCATATGTATCCACATGCACACAGTCACACATGTATGTGCATACACACATAGCTTCTGGACTGACTTAGTATCTGGGAAGGGGTTCCTCAGCCCTTCGAAACCAAACAAAGGCAGTGCCCCCCCCTCCTCTCCCCTCTACCCCCCAAATATGAATGGATGTGGTTGAAGCTGCAGTGTGTGGAGAATTGCAAGTCTGTCTCAATTACACAGGAAGTTTGGTTTTGTCTTATTTATAGCTCTTTGTTTGGGTCAGATTAAACAACAGTTGCTTCCCTTAATCAACCATGTGTGGCTTCTGCCCAGGCGTATCCTGACAAGATGATATTTCTCTGGACAGGATAGAAGGTAGAGTTGATAAGGGTCTCAATTTTTAAAAAAAGAGAGACTTGGTTGGGTGTGGTGGCACACTCCTATCATCCCAGCACTGGGGAGGCAGAAGCAGGAGGATCTCTGTGAAACTGAAGCCAGCCAATTCTCCATAGTGAGTCTATGCCAGCTGTGGCTACAGGGAGACCCTGTCTCAGAGAGAGGGGGAGGGGGGAGGAGGGAGAGGGAAAGAGAGGATGGAGGGGGGAGGAGGGAGAGGGAGAATGAGAGAATGAGAGAATGAATGAATTGTCTTCTGATCAGATAGTCCCCTCCTAGTGAAACTTATTTGAAAATCACACAGGAGACTGGGGAGGTGACTCAGTTGGTAAAGTGCTTGCCACAGGAGGACCTTGATTCAATCCCCAGAACCCACATAGAAAGCCAGGCATGGTAATGCATGCTTGAAATCCCAGCACTGTGGAGGCAGAGACAGAAGGTTCTCTGGAGTTCAGTGACCAGCCAGTCTAGCCAATCAGTGAGCCCAAGTCCAAGTGGAAGATTCTGTCACAAACAAACAAGTAGACAACATCTGAGGTTGTCCCCTAGCCTCCACACACACGCACACATATATACACACAGGCACACATGCAACACATACATGTGCACATAAAACACAGAATCGGAAATTATAGACACAAGATACAAATGTTCAGGGTGGCTATGGGATAGCTTTCCACTTGGTGCATCATATAGAAAAGTTAGAGGGGACAGAGGAAAACTCTTTTCTACTTCCAGAACAGTCCACCCTGTACACACTCGGGCTTTACAGGGGTTTTAGAGAGGTTTATACTCCAGAGGGCCTCACCTTTTGTTCTTTTTCAGTCCATGCTCCTATCCAATATAACCCCAATGGTGTCATGGATGGCCTTTAGTCACATGTTGCAGTTGCTTAATGAGGCCTCTTCTGAGAAATGCACTGGTAAGGCTATGGTGCAGGCACTCTAACTTGTGCTTACACAAACCAAGATGGCTAGGACGTCAATAGGCCATGGAATCTTACAGGACTACCATATACCAGATATGGTTATGGTGTAGTAAAGAACATATATCCTGTGGGTGAGGGGTGGGGGGGCGGGGCTGTAGGTGTATCTGCGTGTTCATGTATATACATGTGGATTCACCTTTGTGTGTGTGCATGTGTGCACGCATGTGCATGTGAATGAATTGGCATTAGAATGTCTTGGGATGTCTTCCTCAGTCTCTTGTCTGCTATTTTTTGAGACAGGTTCACACATTGAAATTTGAGTTTACCTTTTGTTCTGATAAACTGTCTGGTCATCTGGTCAGTGAGTCTCTGGGATCCACCTATGTCTGCCCCCCCTCAAGTGCTGGGATTACAGATGCGCACCATCACACGCAACTTTTTCTGTGGGTGCTAGAGATCACACTTAGGTCCTCATGCTTCCATGCTGGTTTTCCCACCAAACCATCCCCAGCCCCTGTACATTTTTTATCGGGGAATAATCTTCAGAGGAGGTGAAAGTTTGAGTTACGCTGCTTGATTTGGCCTCCAAGCCCCTTTGACCCAACGAGATGGTAAATACAGCTGGAGTCAGAGTAGACTGTGTGGCTCCCAGGTGAGGGCGAGCTGGAGAAAACACAAAATGAAACCATGGGTGAGATGGCCTGTGACATTCTGTAACTGCTGTCTTTGCCTACTGAACACTAACGGCCCTGTCTTTTGCTTTCTACATCAGCTCACACTCCAGACAACAGCTTTCTGGGCTTTGTGGTTGAACAGCACCTGAACTCAAGCGACATCCACCACATTAATGAGATCAAACGACAGAACCAGTCCCTTGTGTATGGCAAGGTGGATAGCTTCTGGAAGGTGAGTCAGCCCTTGCAGCGTGCTCTCTGGAAGCAAGCTTGTGGGGTAATTTAATCTTGCTTTGATCCAGGGAGTAATCAAGTCAAGGGCGCAGGGCTTAGCAAGATCTTCGTAGATATAAATAAGAGCATTCAGAGGTTTGGATGCCCCAGCATGTTGGCATCTAACCAAGGCTATGGTTGCTCATTCATCCTTAAAGCAGCTATACTACAAACCTTTGGCTTCTTTGCATGTCAGAAATGACAAATGAGCTTGGGAGATGACTCTGTGGGTAAAGTGCTTGCTGCAAAATATGAGGGACTGAGTTCTGATCCCCAGGACCCCCACAAAAAGCCAGGTAGGGTGGCACATGCCTGTTACCTCAGTGCTTCAGTGCTAGGTGGGTGAAGAGACAGGAGGACCCCTAGGGCTCTCTTGTCAGCCAGTCTGAGTCAGCATGTTCCTGGTTCAGTGAGGGACCCTGTCTAAAACAAAACATGGGAGAATGATTGAGGAGGACATCCAGTGTCAGCCTCTGTCTTCCACATGCACATGCACACACACACCCACAAACACCTGCACACACAGACACAAATAATAATGAACACATGGCAGCTTCTTTCACATCTGTAGTGGGCTGTATACCTGAGGTTTCTACATCCACAGATTCGTACAATATAGACTGAAAATATTCAAGGAATGGAGGATACTAAATGTGGGTAAACAATCTTTTACTTATTAGACCCTTGATACAGCACCACTGTTTATATCACACTCTCTTGTTGGATATTACAAGAGACATAGAGATGATTTTGAGTACATAAGGGGATGGGCAAGTGTTCTGTGAAAACACTGCTCATTTTGTATCGGGTCCTTAAACATCCTTGGAATTGGGTGTTCTCAGGGGCCCTGGAACCCATCTGTTGTAGTTTCATTAGGTTGCTGTGTTAAAACATTCATACCAAAAGCATCTTGGGGGAAGAAAGGACTTATTTGACTTATACTTCCACGTCACAGCCTATCATTGAAGGAAGTCAGGACAGGAACTCAAGCAGAAGCTTGAAGCAGAAACTATAGCAGAAGGCTGGCATGCTCACTGGCTCATGCTTAGCTAGCTTTCCTGTATAGCCCAGGACCACCTTCCTAGGAAACGATGTCACCCACAGACATGTCCACAGGCCAAACTGTTCTAGGAACGTCCTCAATTGAAGCTTTGCTCTCCCATGACTCTAGGCAGTGTAAAGTTGACAAAGCTAACTAGCAGACCATCCATACCTAGGAACAGTGGTATTTGATTCTGAGCACCAGGGTCCTGCAGGGTTCAGCTAACTTTCTGGGCCTGGGCATTGCACTGAGAATCCGCTCTGGGAAGCAGTGTCTTTGCTGAGATCTCTTTGGCTTCTATGATTGGTAGTCTCCTCCTAATCTGCAAAGAGAATGCCTACCAGCACCAACTATGAACACTTTGCTTGGGAGAATCTTGGGTATTACAAAGTTCTTGGCTGCAGATCAAACCAGATTTTCCCAAGCTCTAGGCTGGTGGGCCCCACAGGGACCCCCTGCCCTCATGGGAGGATTTCCAGCATACCTAGGGAAGAGGTAATGGCAGAAGAGCAGGAAAGGTCTGATCTGTTTTTTCTAATTTTTTGTGTGTGAGTGTATTGTCTACATGTGTGTAAATGCACCCATGTCATGCAATGCCCGTGAAGGTCAGAAGAGGGCATCAGATCCCATGGAACTAGAGTTATATATGGTTGTTAGCTGCCATGTGGGTGCTGGGAATCAAACCTGGGTCCTCTGCAAGAGCAACCAGTGCTCTTAACTGCTTAGCCATCTCTCTAGCCCCAAGGTGTGACCTGTTGGCAGGCAAATCTTTATATATGGTGTATCATCTCAGGGAGCAGATGTTGTAATTTTGAGAAATATTTTTGAAGGATAGAAATCTCCAGGACTTCTAATATACCTCTTCCTAAATTTCAAATTAAACCTTTTGGGAAATGGTCTTAAGCTGTGATCCATGCTGTATGTCTCCCCCATGGAGGAAGTTAGAAATCTGATGCCTGAGGGTTTATCAGTAGCATGTAGGGTCTTCAGAAAAGGTTTTACCCAGGCTTCAGCTCTGCAGGGCTAAGTAGACCAAAAGGGCAAGTGTTAGTAGGTTGTTTCTTTACATTTATTTGTGTGTGTATGGTGTGTGTGTGTGTGTGTGTGTGTGTGTGTGTGTGTGTGTGTATGAATGCCCTAGAATGAATGTGGAGATAAGAGGACATCTTGCAGAAGTCTGTTCTCTCCTTCCACCATATGAGTCCCAGGGATTGAACTCAGGTCATCAGGCTTAGTAGCAATCACTTTTACTCACTGAGCCACTTACAGTCCTGGTGGGTTTTGATGAACACTGATCTATTCCCAGAAAATGGTCTTTATTATGGACAGCTAGATTCTGTATTGTATAGTATTGTAGCTTTCAACGAGGGACAACTTTACTGCCTCCCACCACCAAAGAGCCAACTTGGCAATGTCTTGAGACATTGGTTTCTGTGTTGGATAGTGGTAGTGCTGGTATCTAAGGGTGAAGGTGAGGGCTGGTTTTGCATCTTACAGTGCATACAAAGGCTCCTTAGTAAAGTTATCTGGCATAGATTTATAGCACTGCCTAGATTGATGGTCTCTGTACTTGTAAAAATTGAGTTACTTCTTATGTGTTATGACAAGTTGTATATTCCTAACCCCAAATTTTGAAACCCAAACTACTTGGGTGCTGATATGATACCAGCATGTGGGGAAAAGTATCAGTCCACCCCCTGACCTCATGTGGCATTTCACAGTATAAACTCAGAACTGCAGGAAATGACTGCTAGCCCATGTGTCTATAGTGAAAGTATGTTGTAGATGGAATGTGAAATGGCCCCCACAGACTCATTCATGGGTTGTGTTGGTTTTAAGCTGGTGGTGCTGTTTTGGAAGGTAGAGCCTCCCTGAAGGAAGTGGGTCACTGGGAACAGGCCTTAAGGATTCGTAGCCCTGCCTCACTTCTGTTCACTGTCTGCTTCCTGACTGTGAACAAACCCCCGCATAGCCCAAGTAATCATTGCTATATATACCAGGCTGGCTTCAAACTCATGCAATCCTTCTGCTTCTGCCTCTGCCTCCCAAATTGTTAGGATGACAGATCTGAGGTAAAGACCTCCTGAGAGCCACCATGCCCAGCCTGTTTTGTCTTTTGGAAACAGGATCTTACCTATTGAAACAGGAGCTACCCAGGAATTTGAAATTCTTCTGTCTCAGCCTCCTGATACTGAAATTCAAAGTGTGTACCAGCCTAGCTCTTGGCCTCTTTTTCCACAGGGCTTATCCTGGGGTCTCTGTGATGATTGTGTGAGCTAATTTATGTAAGATGCTTAGCACAGGACATGGCACACAGCATAACTAAATGGTGCTACTATTGATACTATTATTGGGCCAGATAGAAATCACCACAGTGAAAGTTGATTCTGAGTGCGAAAATGGTCAAGCCTGTGAGAATCTTGGAAAAACAAGCCTGCCCACAGATACTAAGATGCTCATTTTTTAACTGAGTCAATAAGGGCTGGAGAGATTACTCAGCAGTTAGGATCACTGGCTACTCTTACAGAGGACCCAAGTTCAGTTCCCAGCATCCACAATGGCAACTAACAACCATCCATAATTCCAGTTCCAGAATATCCAGTGCCCTGTTCTGGCCTCTATGGGTGCTGCATGACATAGGTGCACTTACATACATGCAGGCACTCATACACATAAAATAATTTTTAAATAATAATAAATACAATATTTTAAAACTGTGTCAACAGCTTAACCCTAACCTGTGGGCCAAATCTAGCCCATTATCTGTTTTTGTAAATGTCATTTTATTGGAACACAACCATGCCTCCTTTTTGTCTGTGGATGCTTTTCTACGAAAATTGTATAGTTGAGGGGCTGGAGAGATGGCTCAGCAGTTAAGAACACTGGCTGTTCTTGCAGAAGACTGGGGTTTGTATCCCAGCGCCCACATGGTTGCTAACAGCTATCCATAGCTCCAGTTCCAGGGAATCTGATAGCCTCTTCTGTCCTCTGCTGGGAATTGCATGACACAGGTGTGCTTTCCTGCATGCAGGCAATATACACATACACATAAAAATAATATTTTTTAAATTGTATAGTTGAGCCAGGCGTGGTGGCGCACGCCTTTAATCCCAGCACTCGGGAGGTAGAAGCAGGTGGATCTCTGTGAGTTCAAGGCCAGCCTGGTCTACATAGTGAGTTCCAGGACAGCTGGGGCTACAGGGAGACCCTGTCTCAAAAAAAGACCAAAAAAAAAATTGTATAGTTGAGTAATTGTGACAAAAACTAGACAGTGTACAGAGGCAAGATTATTTACTGTCTGGCCTTTGCTGACATAGTTTGCTAACCTCTGAACTGTGTTACATCCTAAGCAAACCCAATCTCTCTCAGATGACGTTCCTGTGGAGCCCAACAGAGCATGTGTACATGCGGGTGCACATGTGTGGAGGCTGGAAGACAACCTCAAATGTCATTCCTCAGATATGTCTACTTTGGGGTTTTTTTGTGGGGGGGGCGGGGGCGTGTGAAACTCAACTCATTCTCAAGAAAAAACTCTGTGCACAAAGCCCAGTACTAAGCCAGCCAACTCTTCCTAGGCATTCAGCAAATTCAACTAATACATAGATGATCAAATGGGACTTTGACCAACACAGGGTGTAGGTAACTGAGTTCCACCCCAGCACATGCTAAGCCCTAAGGCTCAATCTTCAGCACTGCGGTCGCAGGGGACAGGCTTACATTTGTGGACATAGTTCCACTTCTTGGAGCCCTTCACTGCCATGACTGAAAGTGGCACATGCTGATATCTTTTGCTTTTGGCCATCCTGATTCATAAATGAGGGATCACTTAACAGTGATGGAGCCACATGGCTCAGGTCCTCCAGCCTGTGCAGGTAGCAAGCAGAGCCAGGGCCAGGGCTCTGCCGTTCCTCTCTTGG